CCCCAAAACCCCAAAACCCCAAAACCCCAAAACCCCAATATTAATATAATAATTGAAATACGCGAAAATAAAATTAATGGCTGCCCTGAACAATTCTCCTGCTAAAGCAAAATTTTCCTTTGGCACTTCCAGTAGATTCCCAAGTGTGAAGAAAAGTTACTGAGATACGGTAAGGAACTGGCTCCTGAAATGGAGATTTACTGGCCCGAATTTTTCGAGAAAATCCCACCAGTGAGATTTTCAATAGGTTTACATTAAAAATACCTGCTTAAGTTGTAATTTAGGCATGTTATGAGTCAAAACCTGCACTTAGTAAGAGATCTCCGTCTTTTGGAGTGGGAGATAGGTTCAAGAGCCCTCTTAAAGGTATAGTGTTAGCTCTAAACCCTAGATCGTAAGCCGGCTCCAGGGTCATATAAGCCATATCTGTCAGATTTTGAGACCAACAAAGGTTCTACTTTTGGAATTTCATACGCAAATTATGAGAAAGTTTATATCAAAAGTAACAAAATCCCAACAGATAGGTCTTTACCAGGCCCTGGAGCCTACAAAATTGATAAGACCAAAAAAGGAGGAATTTCGATAGGAGCAAAATTCAAATCTAATCATGACATAATCGCTTCCAGTACTCATCGTAACCCTGGACCAGGGTCATATTCGGGCCTCAATACTCTCTCAACCAATGGCAAAGTCGTTGTCTCAACTATCAAGTAATTTCCTGTGTAATCGGATAGGAGCCCTAGTAAGACTAAAATTGGAGGAAAAAGCCAGAGATTTCATTCTAAGAGCAAGTTTCATCAAATCCCTGGACCAGGAGACTATATTAGTAACAAGACCTTAGACTCAACTACCAGGCGCTCTTTGTCTAAATTCCAGAACCCGAAGATGATCTCTTTTGGCTCTTCATCAAGAGTATTTGATTCTGGATCTATTAGAGATGGTAATAGTCCCGGCTTGCTTAAAATCTCAATTGTGAAACATTTCAGAATTTCTTCATTAAACTAAATACTAGCTCATTTTTACTCTGAGAGCTATTTAAAAAATTACTTTGGAGTTTTCACAAAGAATGAAGATCAAATTTACTCGCATAAGATGTTTAAATCCCAGATTTCTCCTATTACAGCTCTTTATGTTAGCAAATTAACCATAGCATAGTGGCAGGTCCAGGTCCAGGGGCGTACGAATTTGCTTCTGAGTTTAATGACAAACTATCATCAACAATGACAAGTTTAATTCCAAAGAAGAAAAAGAAGAATCGCAGATACACAAGAAGTACGTCTAATTTCTTTTATCTATTTTAGGTATGGAAAAGTTGTAAGACAGGATCTCAAGGACTGAATTCTAGCAGCTAAATTTAAACTAGACATTCTCAATCTGAAAGCTTTTAGGAGGGGTTTTGGGGTTTTGGGGTTTTGGGGTTTTGGGG